CGAAGCGCCGCGTGCCCAGGGGCCGGCGTGCCCCTCCCCCAAGCGCCACGTGCCTGGTGCTCCCCCCATGCACCGCGCGCCCAGAGCGCGGATGGCCAATTCGCAGCACTCCCGGGGCCGGCGCTTACCATGTGCCCGGGGCTGGCTCCAGCGCCATGCATGCACCACGTGCCCGGGACCTGGCCAGCCCTGAGCACTTGCTGGGCGCACACAAATGCCCCCGCGGGTGCGATGGCGCCCGCGGGCACCGTGTTGGGGACCACTGGTCTAGACCATCCGTGGTAAGAGCAGGTTAGACTGACATCTAAGTATCTCCAGAGATGGAGAGTCCACAACCTCTCCAGGCAACTTTTTCCAGTGTTTAACCACCCTGACAGTTAGGAAGTTTTTCCTAATGTCCAACTTAAACCTCCCTTGCTGCAGTTTAAGCTATTGCTTCTTTCTGTTCTCAGGGGCCAAGGAGAACAATTTGTCTCCCTCCTCTTTGTGACACTTTTAGACACTTGAAAACCCTCATCATATCCCCTTTCAGTCTTCTCCTTTCCAAACTAAACAGCCCAGTTCTTTCAGTCTTCCCTCATAGCTCACGTTCTCTAGACTTTTAATCATTCTTATTGCTCTTCTCTGGACCTTCTCCAATTTCTCCTCATCTTTCTTAAAATATAGTGCCCAGAACTAGAGAATACTCCAATTGAGGCCTAATTAGCGCAGAGTAGAGTGGAAGAATGACTTCTCGTGTCTTGCTCACAACACTCCCATTAATGCATCCCAGAACCATGTTTGCTTTTTCTGTAACAGTGTCACACTGTTGACTCATTTAGCTTGTGGTCCACTATAACCCCTAGATCCCTTTCTGCAGTACTCCTTCCTAGACAGTCACTTCCCATTCTGTGTGTGTGAAACTGATTGTTCCTTTCTAAGTGGAGTACTTCGCATTTGTCCTTATTAAGCTTCATCCTATTTACCTCAGACCATTTCTCCAATTTGTCCAGATCTTTTTGAACTACGACTCTATCCTCCAAAGCAGTTGCAACCCTTCCCAGCTTGGTATCATCTGCAAACTTAATAAGCGTACTCTCTATGCCAATATCTAAATCACTGATGAAAACATTGAACAGACATGGTCCCAAAACAGACCCCAGTGGTACCCCCCTTGTTATGCCCTTCCAGCATGATCGTGAACCTTTAATAACTGCTCTGAGTACAGTCATCCAGCCAGTTATGCACCTACCTCATAGTAGCCTCATCTAAGTTGTATTTGCCTGATTTATTGATAAGATTATGAGAGACTCTATCAAATGCTTTACTAAAGTCTAGGTATACCAAGTCCACCACTTCTCCCTTATCCACAAGGCTTGTTATCCTATCAAAGAAAGCTATCAGACTGGTTTGACAATTTCTTCTTTACAAATCCACACTGGTTGTTACCTATCACCTCATTTTCTTCCAGATATTTGCAGATGAATTCCTTAATTACTTGCTCTATTATCTTTCCTATCACTGAAGTTAAACTTTGGCTTATTGGATAGTTGACTAGTCCCTTACATCCCTGCTCCTGCACCCCCATATCACCAACCCCCTGCCATAAGACTGACAGAAAACAGCCTGAATGGGGGCATAAAGCTGGATTTGACCAGTTGCAATGTAAACGTCAAAGAACTGTGTGAATAGATGCAGCTGCAGAAGTCCCATTAAATGAAGTCTGTGAGTACAATGTTTCATCTGTGCTATCATTAATCATGTCAATTATCAATAATATTAAGTTGCATATTTTCAGTCATGCAAATGGGCATTCTTATATAGCTCTGTGTTTACCACTTGTTCTGAATTTTGATGAATTTCTCTGGTTTGAAAAGGTTGCCTACCTCTAGTCTACTGGGTCTGGGAGATTTGCTCCCAGCTGCAATGTAATCATGCCCTTAGAGACAAGATTCTTTCCTCACAGTGCAATCATTAATTGCACAAACGCTACTGAAATCAGATCACTGCTTATATGCAGCAGGCTAGCTCATTTTTTTTTAAATAAATCTTGCATCCCCATCTCTAGCTGGCTAAACTATATGCCAAGCAACAGCGTGTGTAGGACAGACCAAGTATGGAGTTACAAATTATTGTGACCATTACTGCTGACTCAAGTACAGGCAGTCCCCGCGTTACGCGGATCCGACTTATGTCGGATCCGCACTTACGAACGGGGCTCTCTCGCCCCGGAGCTCACAGGCAGCGGGACCGCCCAGAGCGCAGCTGTCCCGCCACCTCGACCTCCGGGGCGAGAAAA